CTATTAAAACCAACCTTCCAAATCTTAAATGTTCACCCAACATCATTACAAGAAGGGCAGAAGTTGAGCACTTTCTTGGTTTCTCTGGTTAAGTTTACTGATCACTACAATTCATGTCATAGTAATGTTTATCACACTCAGTGAAAAAAATAGGGCACTACCTTGAAGCTTGCAGGATGGAGTCAGAATTACTCATCCTTTTGTTTCTCCTTTAGAAGATCAATTTGAAGTCTGCAATTCTGCTTTGATGCTGACATGAACATTTTCAGAAGATATACCTAACTCTAGCCAGGACTGAAACAATGCTACCTACTGATGGTTCTAGAAACTCATCACTGCCCACCGTAGGAAGGGTTTGTAATCAGAAAAGGGAAAATGCAACCCTCTTCTAGTCTTTGATCTTTCTTCACTTTTTACTCTTCCTTCCAAAACTTGAGCAATTTCAAAACTACACAATTTAAATGTATCACTTTTTTTTTTTTTGGTCTCTTTTGAGACAGGGTCTCCCAATAGCCCCAGCTGGCCTGGGACTCACTACATAGACCAGGCTGGACTTGAATTCACAGAGATCTGCCTGCCTCTGCCTCCCAGTGCTGGGATTAAAGGCGTGCGCCACCACGCCCAGCTATTTTATTATTTTATTTTACATTTATTTGTGTGTAATCCTGGCAATGTATCACATTTTAAATATTAAGAAGCACTCCATACAGCCTGTGGATGTATCTTTTCACAGATGTACAACTGCTTGCTTAAAACCTGATTATTTCATGTATCATTTTCATTTCTGTAATAATTGTACCTTTTTCTAAAAGAGGAAAATCTTGGAGCCTTGAGCTCTGTGACAAAGATACCACCTCCAGCGGCTACAAGCTCCCAACTTTCACCATGGTTTGCCTGGGTGTTTCAGAGAATTAAAATAAACTGTACTCATGTTTTTTAAATGTTTTGCTCCATACCAAATGTGTAGACCCCACACTCCCTCTGGTGGTCCTTCACTCTCATTATTCAAATGCTTTCCAAAACATGAGGCATAAATATTAACCTAAGTATAAAATGCAAGTTGATTCTCTTCACAGACTTTAAGACATAAAAATTATTGAGTAATGGAGTTCTAGTATTCTAAATATTACCCTAATATCCTTAGTAATCTGTTAGCTACAACCTGTTACCAACCTGTTCATGTATATGCTCATTAATAAATTATTTTAGCCTGTCTCATTTACAGAACAACCATTTACACAGAGTAAACATCTAATTTGCAAATTAAATCACACATAAGTGGTCACTTTTAAAATCAGTAGTCACATGGCTTATATATCATTATCCACCATGCCTGTAGATTTGATTTTGTCAACATTTTGGGGGACTACATGTCAGAGTTTTAAAATGCACTGAGCTGCAGCCAGGCGTGGTGGCGCACGCCTTTGATCCCAGCACTGGAGAGGCAGAGGCAGGCGGATCTCTGTGAGTTCAAGGCCAGCCTGGTCTACATAGTGAGTTCCAGAACAGCTGGGGCTACAGGGAGACCCAGTCTCAAAAAAGACAAAAAATAAAATAAAATAAAATGCACTGAGCGGCTGGTAGTGTTGTTCCATGGTAGATCACCTGCCTCGCAGCATGGCAAAGACAAAAGATTTAAAAAGCATTAAAATGTGCTACAGAAATTTTCAGAAATATAAAATAATAAAAACCAAAAATCTAATTACTGATTACTAACTTAGAAAGCTCAAACACTTCAGAATTATAAAACAGATATAGTTGTCACATATTAATTACTTGGTGTACCAAAATATGTACAACATGGTCTTCTTTAGGAAGGGCAAAATTAGTAAAGGCTTGAAGACCAGATGTTTAATGCCAGTTAGAAATATTTACTGGGGCTGGAGAGATGGCTCTAGAGCAGTTAACAGCACTGGCTACTGTTGCAGAGGGCCCAGGTTTGGGTCCCAGAACCCACATGACATCTAAGCACCGTCCATAACTACAGTTCCAGGGGATCCAGTGCCCTCCTCTGACCTCTGAGGGCATTTGCATGATACAGGTGCACTTACATACACACAAGCAAAACACTCATACATAAAAATAATCAATAATATGGAGCTATACTAAGGCAGGGCGTGGTGGCACAGGTCATAATCCCAGCACTCCAGAGGCAGAGGCAAGAGGATCTCTGAGATCGAGGCCAGCCAGGTCTACATAGTGAGTTACAGGCCAGCTGGGGTTACAGGGAGACCCTGTCTCAAAAAAGCCAACAGGCAGAAGTATTTACTGGGGGCTGGTATAGCTCAGTGGTACAGCACTTGCACAGCATGCACAAGGCCCTAGGTCCAATACTAAAACAGGAGCAGGAAAGGAGGCAAATTTCCACCAACACCCACCACTCCCAGACTCAAATGGAGTCATACCTGAGGGTATGTGCCTTAAAAACAGTCCCAACTTTTGTTGTGTAGATGTGAGAATCAACTTATGCTTAATTTTGAAAGTGAAATGATAGTCTACCACAACTTAAACAAAAAAGTCTGTCATTAAAATACCTGAAAACTGGATTTTAAAATGGGATTTTAATTAAAAGGTATTTCTCTAGTTAGGTATGTACTATAAGCTTTTGTGTAGAAAAATAGATGAAATGTAACTATGATATTTGGTACATTAAGCATCATCATAGGATAAAAGACTATGAAGCCTCTAACTACATGGACTAGTTCCTCAGCAAATAGACACTGAGGGAGAATGAAATCTAAAACAATGAAAGCCCAGGTCTTATAAAGCCCCCTCAACTACTTATACCACAGTGTGAGCCCACTACTTGGGGAAGTCATCAAGAGATCTGTCTTTCATGAATTATCAAAAGCTTTAGACAGATAGCACAGGAAATATTCTTTCTTCTCCTGATGAACTCAATCTAAGCTGAAAAATGTTTAGGAAACAAAACAATGCAAAATATGAATTATTTTCCAGTCCAAGAATAAACAGAAACCTCAAAATTAACTTAGCTGCCTGATACCAATATTCTAGGTTTTTTCATGTTGAACTGACTTAAGGTATGCCTTTAAAAAGAAATCTGAGCTGGTGAGATGGCTCAGTGGGGAAAGGCACTTTAGATGCCATGACTCCATCCTGGGATCCACCTAGGGGAAGGAGAGAACTGTCTCTCAAATGATGTCCCTTGACCTCCACACCTGGGAGCATATACATACACAAAATCAGTAAGTAAATGAATGAAGGGTAACAAAGAAAGAAATCCATGTAGGCTTCACATAACTGAAATTAAAATATTGAGAAACATAATTGTTTTGCCTAATGCTGGAATAACATATAAGCTTGCTGTTTTAGAGAAATACAACAATTTACAAAGATTGTTTTTAGATTAAGATCTCAAGTGGTCCTAACTAATACCTAGGTGAATAAAATGACCATCCAATGAATTAACTTAATTAAATCAAAAGGAACTGTTCTGGCCAGACCTGCACACCTTTAATCCCAGCACTCCGGAGGAGGCAGAGGCAGAAGATCTCTGTGATTTCCGGGCCAGCCTGGTCTATGTAATGAATTCCAGGCCAGGTGGGGCTACAGGGAGACCCTGTCTCAAAAGACAAAGGAAAAAAAAAAGGAACTGCTCTGAAGTTTAGTGTCTCTGACTTATAGAGTAGACCCAATTCAGTTATCACAGAAGACATATTAGAAAACAGAGAAAACTAAATCCAGTGTTTCTAACAAATGCTGAGTGTTATTAATAACTGCATTTAAAGCTATATACCTTTCCTTAGCATCCCCAAATTAGTCAGGCCTGTAACTGAAGGTCAGAAGATCGTCAGGGTAAGTAAAAGTATGACCGAATAAGAACGTCCCACTAGATGAAGATTTTTTTTTTCAAGTCAATCCTTGAATTTCCTTAAAGACAGACTATCCTTAAAGCAAAGGGGGTGGGGAGGGTACGGGTACAGAATCCCGAATCCCACCATTAAAAAAACCCTTAAACCCAAAACCACCTTAACTTCTTCCTTGTCCCCAAAACCTAACAAAACGTAAAGACGATGAAAATAAACACTCCCGCCCACCCTAAGAGAGGGCAGAGGAGTCCCCCATTCAACGCTCAGATTAGTCTGCTGGAAAGCACAGTCCTGAAAAGTCAACCCCAAACCACCAGCAAGCTCCAAAGTGCAGCAGGCAGAATTTACTGAATGGCGGCCAAACGCCGTACACACTGTCCCTATCCGGAGCTCCGCACGCTCCTCTTACAACTTGTCCCTTCCTAGGCTTTCGCCAGCACTGCAAAGAAAGGGGGAAAAAAAGAAATCCTGGCTCGTCCACACTGGGGCGGGGGATGGGGTGGAAAAATAAAAATAATGCAATGTGCACTTTGGACAAAAGTTGTGATATCCCAAAGTTGAAGCCTCCCAAAGCACCCTTAAAAAAAGAATTTTGATATTGCATTTATTTATTTGTCTGTGTGTGCGCGCGCGCAAGCACGTGGGTGTCCAGGGACAACTTGCAAGGAGTCGGTTCTCCGGGGACTCGAACTCGGGTTGCCGGGCTTGGCTGCAAGCGCCTCTACTCCCCACAGTCATCCCGCGAGAACTTTTCAGCCGTGGAGTGGGTCACCTGCCGGCTCCCGGGCCGCGGAACGAGGCCCCGAGCCGGGTCCCCGGGCTGCAAGACGAGGGCGGAGGCCGGCCGGCACGCCCATCGCACGGCCCGGTGCCGACACCCGGCCAGTCCGCTCCGTTATCCGCGGCCTCACCGGGCTCCAGGTGAGGCCACTGGAAGGCAAAGTTTCCTTCCCGCCCCGGGGTCTCGTCAGCTCGGTCCGTAGGGCGGGAAACAACGCCGCGGGCGGGCGCTGAAGGGAGCGCAGAGGGGAGCGCGGCCTCCGCCGCACCGCCCGGGCCTCCCGCGCCGGGGTCTCCCGGGGGCAGTGGGAAGCCGCGTGAGGGGGCCGCTACTCGGGCGCCCCGGGAGTTCGCCGCGTCCGCGCGCCCCATCCCCGCGGCGCCCCGTACCTGTCGCCGCCGCAGCTCCTCAGCTCCGCGTTTCTCCGCTCAGCCCCTCAGCCGCCTAGCAGGCCGCTGGTCCGCACGCCCGTCCGCCCGCCTGCCCGCCCGCCACACAGAGCGCCGGACACCGCGGCCGGAGACTGGCAAGCGCCCGCCAGCCAGCCCGAATCCCCTGGGCAGCGCCCGGCGTCGTCCCGCCCCTCGCCGGCCGTAGGACCCGCCGCCCATAGGGCCGCAGGACTGTCAATCCGCCCCCAAAAGGCGCTCGGGCTGCCGCTCTGCCGGTCTGGATTGGTGGCCGCGCGCCTCTAAGCAAATAAGGCCCCGCCCCATTCATTTGCATCTCCACCTCCCCGCAGCGGCCCACGTGTCTGGCCCTTGGCCTTTGTGGGGGCCAGAGAGACGGGATGGGGGAAGCTGACCCACACCTCCTTGGCCTCCAGAGAAGCTAAGGCTCAAAGAGCCTGTCAACTTCATGCCTGCACCAGCTCTCTCTCTCTTTCTCTCTCTGAAGACTCTGCCCTTCCTATCATATGTCCACCCGGCTTGCCCTGAGGGCTGGAGGGGTCAGGCCATGCTGGCCCCAGGGAACATTACCCCATGAACTTAAACATGCTCGTTACAGCCTGGGGGGCCGGATCCCAATTTAGCAGTTAGCACCTTTCCTCTGGACACCCAGTGAGTGTGAAGACCCTGCTTTCCCATGATCTCTGCCTTTTAAACTGAGATAGCCCCTGTGATTGACAGGAAGAGGCTTTTAAAACAGCTGTGTTCTCCCAGGATCCTCAAGGGTAAGGGTACTGAGCCATTTCGCTTCAAGATGATCCCCCCACCCCCCACTTCAGCTACATGACCATCTCTGGAGAGCTCCCATAGGGATTTCGGAACTGTATTTGGACCTTAGGACCCTCTTCATTTTATTTATATTTATTTATTTTTGTGTGTATGAGTATTCTGCCTATATGTATGTAAGTGCAGGTCCATGTCCTGCAATGCTGGTAGAGGCCAGAGAGGGCATCAGCTCCCCTGAAGTAGGAGTTACAGATGGTTGTTAGCCACCACATGGGTGTTGGGAACTGAACCTGGGTCCTCTGGAAGAGCAACCAGTGCTCTTAACTGCTGAGCTCGCACTCTCCAGCCACAACCTCTTCATTTTCTGAGGAAAGAAACCAAAAGCTAGTTACATACAGGATGTAACAATTGCCTATGCAAACCTGATGTCTCATAGCCAGATTAGAATCCATGTTTCCTGGTTCCAAATCTGTTATTTTTATTTTTTCACTCCGTTACACCCAAGTATTTATGAAGAGCCACCATGGTGGGTGATGGTAATCATTCCTTCTCTGCCTTCAAGAGATGCCCTCAGAAAAGACAAAACCAACTCAATAACCTCATCAGGAGCGGGGGTCTTGGTCGACACTTGTCTATCCTCAGGTGCCTGGAAATTTCCCCTTTACAAGCTGTCAGGTAGAGTCACAGGAACCATGAATTCAACAACATGATATTGATTGAAACTGCTCAGCAAACCACACCAGTTGATTAATCATGTAGTATGCATGCTAAGAGTAAAGAATCTGCCCTGTGTTGGGCAGGGTACATGGCAGTGAGATGGCGCTAGGCCAGCCCTCACAGCTAGCAGTCAGGAACACCTGCATTTCAGAAAGCACTGTTCCTGTTCCAAGGGTTCTGGCTCCTGCTGCAGGGAATGAGCTCTCCCTGCAAGAGGCAGGGAAGGCTTCATTCATCAAAGAGGTTGCACTAGAACCCACTCTTCAAAGATGGAAGAGGTGTTTGCCAGGCCAAAGGCTGTGGATAAGGAAGGAATAGGACAGGCAGGTGGGCAAAGGGAATGGCCTGAGCAAAAGAACCCTGCAGACCTGGAACAGCCTAGGAACTGAGGGAACAGCTAGGGGCAGTGTGGGCAAATCTGCAGGGCTCTGTGGACTTGTCACATGCTCTGGGACTAGGCTCTTCCAGGAGGAAGAAAAGCCCGGGAGGCTGCCAGGCTATGTTGTAACACACCGCAGCAAACAACAGGCGCTGTAGATACAGCTGCAGGCTTTTTTTTTTTTTTTTCCTAGGCCAGAGTCTGTGGGGAACAGTCAGTTCCACAGTTCTGATGGCAGCCTAGCTAGCCCCACCCACTCCCCCAGAAAAACCACTCTGGCCACCGCACTTGCCCTCCGCTCCTCGGCATTTGGAAACACGTGTGCTTACATTTTCCCTAAACATTGATGCCCTTCAGAACTCAGAGATGACGTGCGCTATGACTACAGACACCTGGGTGTGAAATAAGACTTCTGCCTTTTCCTGATGCATAGACCAGTTCTTTGCCTGTCACCAAGGCTGGCTTCGTGTGTGTGTGTGTGTGTGTGTGTGTGTGTGTGTGTCCTTTTTCAGTGACACAAACTTAGAAAGGCCCTGGTGCTTGGTTTAAGGCTCTGCTGTGGTCATTTTGACATACTTAGTAATTTCTCAACAAGAAGCCCTATACACCTCTAGATGCCTTGATGACTTTTCCTCTTTGCTTCTGAGACTCCATTAGAAACACAGAGTTGGAGAGCTGGAGAGCTGGAGAGCTGACTCAGTGGTTAAGAGCGCTTGCTGCTCTTCCAGAAAATCTGAGCTCAATTTCCAGCATCCACATGAGGCAGCTCACAACTGCCTGTAGCTCCAGCTCCAAAGGACCCAATAGCCTCTGCTGGTCTCCACAGGCATCTGCACTCAACATGCACATACCCACACACAGACATACATATATACATATAAAGAAAAAAAACTGATCTCACTCCACCCTTTTTCTGTTTTTTATCTTTTTTCCTCCCGTGCTTTGGTATAAGATTCTTCTACATTTCAGTGCACAAATTCTCTTTTTGGTCCTTGTGGAATGATTTTGGGGAAGGTTGGTCAGGGTCTCAATATGTATAGCACACACTGGTCCTGGAACTCATGATCCTCTTTCTAATTTTTTTTATTGCATTTTATACTTATTTGTGTGTGTTGCATGTATGGAGGTCAGAGGACAACTTGCAGGAATCAGTTCTTGACTACCATGTGGGACCTGGGGAATTGAACTCAGGTCGTCAAGTTTGGAAGCAATCACCTTCACCTGCTGAGCCATCTTGCCTACTCAACTCATGACCCTCTCTGCCATTGTTTGTCTGAGACCAGGTGCTACTCTGAAGCTCAGGTTGGTCTGGAACTCACTATGTAGCCCAAGCTAGCCTTGAGCACATGGCGACCTGTCTATCTTAGCCTCCTGAGTACTAGGGTTACAGTGTGAGTCACCATGCACGGCACACTGTGTGTGTGTGTGTGTGTACAGGTAACAGGAGACAACCTAGGGGTTGTTCCTCAGGCACCATCCACCTTTTTTGTTGCTGTTATTATTGTTTGTTTGAAACAGGGTCTCACTGTATGTCCTTAGCTGGCCTGGAACTCAGGTAGGCCAGGCTGACCCCAAACACACAGAACATTGCCTGCCTGTAACTCTCCAGTACTGGGATTAAAGGTGTACATTACCCTGTGTGCCCACCTTCTTAAAAATATTATATTTATTATTTTTATTTTATTTGTTTGAGCATATTGCCTGCATATATGTAAGTGCATCTGTGTGCAATGCCTGTGGTGGTCAAAAGAAGGCATCAGATCCTCTGGAGCTGGAGTTTCAGTAGGTCGTTAGCCACCATGTGGGTGCTGGGAACCAAACCAGGGTCCTCTGCAAGAGCAGCCAGTGCTCTTTAACTACTGAGCCATCTCTCCCAGCCCTTGGCCCCTTTTTTATATACAGGGGCTCTCAGTGGCCTTAGAATTTGATGACTGGCCAGTGATTCCCAGGGATCCCTTCATCACTGTCTCTGTGATGCCAGAATTATAAGCACAAGGGTAGAGGACACCAAATTTCCCACTATTTTGTTCTGATTCTGAGTATTGAACCTGGTCTTCCACCTGTAGGCACCCTCTGCCACTGAGTTACATTCCAGCCCCCTTTTCACTGAGACCAGGTCTCCCTGTAGCCCCAGCTGCCCTGGAACTCACTATGTAGACCAGGCTGGCCTTGAACTCACAGAGTTCCGCCTGCCTCTGCCTCTCAAGTGCTGGGATTAAAGGCATGAGCCACCACACCCGGTCCTTTTCACTTTTTAATTTGAGACTAGGACTCATTAAGTTTCCCAGGGTGGCCTTGAATTTATAATCCTCCCGCCTTAGCCTCTCAAGTGGCTAGACTTACAGTCTTGTGCCATCAGGGAGAGCTCAAAATCCTTTTGAGGAGATAAAAATGTTAAGAGGCTGGAGAGATGGCTCAGCGGTTAAGAGCACTGACTGCTCTTGCAGAGCACCTGGATTCGATTCCCAGCACCCACTTGACGGCTACAAACTGTCCTTAACCCCAGTTCCAGGGGAATCCGAAGCCCTCTTCTGACCTCCGTGGCATTGCAGAACACGGGTGCACTCACATACATGCAGGCAATACACTCATACACATAAAATAAATAAATAAAAGCCGGGCGTGGTGGCGCACGCCTGTAGTCCCAGCACTTGGGAGGCAGAGGCAGGCAGATCTTTGTGAGTTCAAGGCCAGCCTGGTCTACATAGTGAGTTCAGGTCAGCTGGGACTACAGGGAGACCCTGTCTCAAAAAGACAAAAAATAAATAAAATAAAAATAATAAAACATTTTTTAAATGTCATTAAAGTGACTGTGATTCATAGATCTGTAACTATACTAAAGATTATTGAATTTTACAGCTTAAATAGCTAAATAGGATGACATGTAAATTATACCTCAATAAAGCCATTGGAAAAAATAAAAGGGGCCGAAGAGCTGGCTTAGCAGTTAAGAGCACTGGCTGTTCTTGTAGAGGACCCAGGTTTGGTTCCCAGCACCCACGTGGCTGCTAACAACCACCTATAACAGGAGTTCCAGGGGATCTGATGCCTTCTTCTGGCCTCTGCAGGCACTGCACACATGTGGTGCACTTAACATACATGCAGGCAAAACACTCATACACATAAGATTAAAATAAATAAGTCAAGCCAGGTATGGTAGCACATGCCTGTAGTCCCAGCACTTGGGAGGCAAAGGCAGGTGGATCTTTGTGAGTTCGAGGCCAGCCTGGTCTACACAGTGAGTTCCAGGACAGCTGGGGCTACAGGGAGACCCTG